AGAATGGTAAATAAAATAGGTAATGACATGTAAGATGAGCATGAATATAATTGAAGTCCATGTAGAGAGAGGTACCTGGGGCCAAGTTACTTTCCTAAAAGATCTTTTATATGTTTGTGTGTTGTGTGTTTATGTTTCTGGGAGAATTAATAAAACCTTGCAGAAATATAGAATAAGAATAATGGTAACCAAGTCAGAAAGAAATAGATGAAATAATAATAGTGAAATTGAATAAGAGTAAAGAGAAGTAAAGAGAAACTGGAAAAGAGGTATTTGTGTGCTCATATAGAAATGGTTTAATAGAATTATATTATATTGTATAAAATAAGGTTTTATTTGACTTGTAAAATTTATAATGGAAAAAGGTTCAAGTATGTAATGGTTAATGATGATTTGTTTGTCTTTAAAATTAATAAAATTTGCTTAAAAAAAAAAGTAGGGTGCCATTTAAGCGTTTTACTCTCTGCCATTTCACCTCTACAAATTGTATCCTCAAGCAGAATTTTTTTAAAAGTTTGACATGTTCTCAAAATCAAGTGAAAAGAAAAAAACCTTCTAAATATGGATAAGTCCAGTTGTTTCAAAGCAGGTGGAACTTTTCCTTCTACAAAGAAGCCTTCACTATGTCCAACCTCATCATTACCGGAGGGGCCTTTACCTGCAAGGAAGGACTTGGATCTAAAACAAAGATGGCCACACCCTATGTTCATTTCTTCAGAATCTACAGTTTGGAACTATCCCTAGATAACCAAGCAAGACTGTATACCATACTTCATTTCTATACATTTATATTTATACTCTTCTATTCCATAGAACCATCCCAATCAAATTCCAGGTATAAATCTGAGAGACTTTATCCTGTCATGCCACTGTTGGAATCTGATTCGGAGGGGGAGGCCGAGCAACTGACAGGGAGTGGGAGTGTGGCTCCATTGGCTGTGGAAGAAACTGGGGAAGGGCACAGTCCGGCTGGGCAGAACAGGGGAGAAGTAGAGCAAGGGAGAGGGAATTCAGAGGAAGACCCAGGCCCACCCCCTCTTCATCCTAGGGCATGCAGGGAGGAACAGAGAATGGAGCAACGTGAGTTGCGTGGCTTACAGGGGAGGAAAGGGCCCTGATTCCCTTCATTAGCTGCAGCTGGGAACACATTGTTTAAAAAGGGAAGCTGTGCATAGCAAGTTGTTGGGAGCAAATCGTGAATTATCTGGTATTGTTTAGGCTTATCTGTGTTCCTGGCATCTTCCCAACTGTGTGTGTTTTGCTGTGCTTTCAAGTCTGCAATTCCTTCTCCTGCCCTGTCAAGTTAATTACTGCAGAGTGGTTTGTTTAGATTTTTAGTTACATTTTGTATGTACTTTGTTTTCGGACTGAGTTTCCTCCACTTAAAGACTGTTCCTGGGAGAATTTTTCTCCAGCCAAAGGTAACCTGGACATTGGGGGCAAAGTTGGAGATAATAAAGGAACTCTTCTTGCTTATTTGACTGTGTTGCATTTGTGCCACACCCCGGGTCATCACATATCCATTAAATGATTAGAATAGTCTTCACAGTGGCTTTGCAGATGTTCCTTTGCCCTTCCTTTATAGCTTATGGGAGGGGCAATCACTTCCAAGCCTTACTCCCGAGTCACCCCTTTTGTCTTAACTGCTCTTGCCTTCTGGCAGCTCTGCCTACACATGCATTGGGAATAGGCTCCCCTTGTTCCTCTGCCTTGCTGTTGTCAGATTTTGGAGGCTCCGGAGTCAGCACATAACTCCCAGTTAGCCATGGTCCCATCTCTGTATCGGACGCAGGACCAACTTCCTCCCCAGACTCCCGGACTGGTCCCTGTTCTTCCCCACTGTCCGATTCTGCTGCCGTCTCTGCAGGCTGCCGGTGGACCACAACAGTGATAAACATCCCCACACATTATGGTTTTTCTGCCTAGCACTCAACATCCGCTACGTGGGCAACTGCCCATATGACACTAGACATCCAACTCTACCCCATACATTATCTTCCAACTGCCTTTCTCTCAGGTAGTTAACCAGGAGAAAAACCAGCTATATCCTCATCTGGCCCAGATATATTTTCCACCGTTTTTCACAGAAGCAGGAGAAGAGATCACAGCCTCGCCCAATGCCCCTTCCCAAAGCTAGTTTAGATTATTAATCCAGCCCTTCTCTCTTAATCCTTTGAAACCACTGATGAAAACAGATCAGGTTTGCTCCAAACTGCAACCTGTAAAGCAGTCTTCACCCCCTTTTTAATGTGCATTGCATGGCCAACAAAGATTTAAAAGATTTGAATGTGTGGTCAAATCTTCCCTCTGGACTTTTTTGACCTACACTCTCACAGTGGCACCTGGTTTTTATTTGATAATGATAATCTCTATTTTTAAAAAATTGTATTTGTTCACCTTGATCAAGACTGTCATCTCTTGGGTACCATTGGGATAAACTGGCCCGAATTTCCTCCATACATCAAGTACCGCAGCTGGTTCTGTATTTAAAAAGAGGAGAGAAACAGATCAGAGGTGGTATTCAGCAGGTTCTGACCAGTTCTGGAGAACCGGTAGCAGAAATTTTGAGGAGTTCGGAGAACCGGCAAATAGACTGGAGATTTTACAGTACCCTTCCGCTGCCACGCCTACCAAGCCATGCCCACAGAACTTGTAGCAAAAACATTTGAACCCAGCATTGAAACAGATGACAAAAATATATAAAATGACTTCTATTATAGCATTACTCTTACACGGGAATAATTATAATAATGGAGCAAATGAACTATTTTTAAAAATAGGTTTTAAAAGCTAATAAGCAAGCATGGAAAATGAGAGTATGTTGATTTTGGAAAGATAGTGTAGGAAGCTATTACAGTACTACATTGTATAGGAGGGTACTATATTATAGCAAATTCACTTCAAGAGCTGAAGAAGATATAACTACATACTTGTAATCTATAGGATGGCCACATTTCCATTTTCCAATCAATGGTAAACTGACTGATGCTTCATTTCTTTCTAGAACGGTTGCTGAATCATAGCCTGCGATATCACTCACTGAGCTTGTATTGTTTGAATGCCCTTGGAGTTGTAATTCAATTACATATGGAGAGTGACAGCTTCTCTGCCAACTTGCTGGAGAGGAAAACTACCTATAACTGAGTTTCTATCTATGCATAAGCAAGATAGTACTTATTACTAATATCCAGTAGCAATAGCAATAGCATTAGACCAGGGGTCTTCAAACTTAACAGCTTTAAGACTTGTGGACTTCAACTCCCAGAATTCTTCCTCCAATCATGTTTGCTCAGGAATTCTGGGATTTGAAGTCCACAAGTCTTAAACTCGCCAAGTTTGAAGACCCTTGCATTAGACTTATATACCGCTTTACAGTGCTTTACAGCCTTCTCTAAGTGGTTTATAGAGTCAGCATATAGGCCCCAACAATTTGGATCCTCATTTTACCAATCTTGCAAGGAGGGAAGGCTGAGTCAACCTTGAGGCTAGTGAGATTCAAACTGCCAAATTGCAGGCAGCTGGCAGGCAGCAGAAGTAGCCTGCAGTACTGCACTTTAACCACTGCGCCACTGTGGCTCATTTATTAGTAATTACTAATAAATTATGTAACAGATCAGTAAGTAGCTATTAGATGCTGATTTATCAACCCAAGTTCACACTTTCAGTTGGAACATAAAAGGCAGGCATTAGTCATCGGACATATGGAATTACAATCTAGTCAATCACATTTAAGTTTAGTTTAGTGTATTATGTGGACTCAGTTACTGTTAGCGCTTTCTGGTTCAATGTGGTTCAATGTGTAATTCAGAGAAAATGGTTTAATGATGTAATGGTAACTGAGTTAACTTTATATAAGTATGTTGTGTGTTAGTACTGTTGTGGGAAACTTTTAAATTATTTGAACATATCACTATTTCTCTCCTCTTCCTGAGAATGAGAACAGAACCGCAACAACTGTATAACAATAAAAAAGAATCAACAAAGCTGCCTGACTTTGCCAAATAAAGGCTTCCAATAGCTAATTATACAAGGGGTGTCAAACTGGCGGCTTGAGGGCCGGTTGCGTCATGCACAGGCCACACCCACCCCAGTTACACGAAGGGGAAAAAAATGTCATGAAACATCATGTGATGGCAACGTGATACAGAGAGTTTGACACCCGTGAGCATTAATACATTCAGGAAATGACAGTTTTAATACGGAATTACAACAACGGGAAAGGATTCACTCGATGAATTTCAGATCAGAATGTAGCTACCAAAGGGAAAGGAGGCTTGCTAAAACAAATGTGCTAAAAGACTCTTGAATGGGAAAACAAACATATTTTTTTTCTTACTTAGAACCCAGTTCTGTCAGCAGGGGTCGCTAATTCTCTGATAATATAGCTTCCTGTACTATGCTAAACCTTTATCTGATGTCGACAAAAAAAGAGTGAAACTGGGCTAACCAGAGTTGTATCTCAATATGTTGTATTTCTTACTGAGGTTAGAAAGTTTCTCCTTAGAGCATGGGGCAACCTCCCCCCTTTCTTCCTTGCTCCATTTCAAAAATAATTTATTTATTTATTTTAGTTTGTCAAGCACGTATGAGAAAACAAGTATAAGTATGAACATAACATATGAACATATAAGCATAAACGGGTATAAGTATATACATAATAAGTGAGAAGAGTAAATGGGAACAGTAGGACAGGGACGATAGGCATGCTGGTGTGCTTATGCACGGCCCCTTACAGACCTCTTAGGAATGGAGTGAGGTCCACAGTAGACAGTTTAAGCAGAGGTGGTATTCAGCAGGTTCTGACCAGTTCTGGAGAACCGGTAGCAGAAATTTTGAGTAGTTCAAAGAACCAGCAAATATCACCTCTGACTGGAGATTTTACAGTATCCTTCCCCTGCCACGCCCACCAAGCCATGCCCACAGAACCGGTAGTAAAAAAAATTTGAATCCCACCACTGAGTTTAAGGTTAAAGTTTTGGGGGTTTGAGGATGTAACAAAAATGTTTTACAACTTCTGCCAGCTCAAGACATGTATGGTTGAGCTTCCTTGGTTTCCAGGCAAATCTTTCTCTTCCAGTTGGCTATTGTACAACATAGGAAGAAGACCCATCTGTCTGGTCATTGGTTGCTATCTTCCATGGCCTTCTCATGGAAGGCTTCCTCTGTTCCTTCTAAAATCTAAAAGGATACTCCCACTGTGGACGAGTAAAATTCTGGACTTTTGCCCTCAACTTGTTCAGTGGAGGACTGGTGAAAAAGTAGACTTTTTCTTTAACAAATTAACCTGTGAAAGCATGGTCCTTCCTTCCTTCCTTCCTTTCTTTTTTTTAAAAACCAGATGAAATTGATGAGGGCTCTGCCAATTAACTCTTGCTTAAGCACTGTAGCAAAAAGCAGGGTAGAAGTGTCCTTGCCACCACATTTACCTATTTAGTGGCAGATAAGGGGAATGAGAAAGCATTGAGGAGGAGATTAACAGGAGGAATCTTATGCAAAAGTTAATGGGAAATTCATGTCCCCAAAGACTGCCTGTGTAAAAGGAAATGATTGATAGAGCCGTCGTGGCACAGTGCCGGCTGCCTGCAGTTCGGCAGTTCGATTCTCACTGGCTCAAGGTTGACTCAGCCTTTTGTCCTTCCGAGGTCGGTAAAATGAGGACCCAGATTGTTGGGGGCAATAGGCTGATTCAGTGAACTGCTTAGAGTGGGCTGCAAAGCACTGTGAAGTGGTATATAAGTCTACTGCTTTCTCCAGCAAAGTTATAAGGAATAAGGAAGATGTTGTATCTGCCATCTAGAAGGAAGACCTGCCCAGCATGGGTGCCAATGCTGAAAAATGGATTGACAATAATGTCTTCAATGGGCTTCTTCATTTCCAGCTAATTAAGTATGGGAAAATGGAGTTTAAGGCTGCCCCTGTTCTGACCCAAACCTGCTTCCAAGAGAACAAACACAAGACAAAGGCAGCAGCACAACCTTTTAATGTTTCATTTACGAATCCTGTTTCTTCACAGCTAAAAGGCTGCTTCCAACTAATTAGCTCCAACAAGAAAGAGCCTTGCTAAGCTTTTGCAAGGCTGCCAAGAACAACAGATAAAGTTCCTAAACAATAAATCAAAGAGTCTCCAAACACCAACGTAGATATTCTAACGTCCACCAGGCTCAAGTATCAAACTTCTTTGCCTTCTGCAAAGAACTCCGGTTTCTCAGCTGGCTTTTGTCTTCTCAGGGAGAGGCCATTACCTTACAGCCTTACTCCCAAGTCGCCCATGGGAGCTGCAGCTGTTCTTTCCTTTGAGCAGCCCTGCGTGCATGCACACTGGGCGCAGGCTCCTCGGGGACCTCTTCATCACTGCTGCCAGCCTCCACAATCTCCAAAGGCAGCATTCCACTCCCTGATGGCCCTGGCCCCATCCCTGCCTCACACGCAGGCCCCTCATCTGAGTCCTCGCTCTCCAAGACCTCAGCCATCCTCACCTGCTGCCGGCGAACCACAACAGCCCCAGTATCTGCATATACAGGTAGTCCTCACTTAATGACTAATTAATATGTCCCCCAAAAGGTACTTGCGACCCAGTTACAGTGTTCTGATGATAGCACATCCTCCTGCACAGTCACATGTATTTGGCAACCTTATGGTGGTTGCAGCATTCCACTGTGTCATGTGATGGCAATTTATAACATTTTTGCTAGAAATCAGCCTTTTAAGTCGATTTCTGGCAAAAATTTTCTGTGGGAATGCATCCATGCTGGGCAGGTTTTCACTTAACGGCCAGGGTACTCGCTTAATACTTGTGGCATTTGCTTAATGACCAACATTTGCTTAATGACATTTGCTTAATATTCGCTTAACAAGTGCCTCAAAAAATTCCCTCAGTTATGTGGGTGCCTCAATTTATGACCATCATGTCTTACAGTGGAAATTCCAACTCCATTATGACCATAAGTTGAGAACTGCATGTAAAAGCTGAAAGAAGGCCAAAAAAAATGTTAGTGAGAGATCTGCTACTACCTGAGGGGCAGAAGTGGCCAATCCTTTTGAATGCAAATGAATTTCTAGCCCACATGGCTGGAAAATGATAGGGTTAATCTTCCATGCATGCATTTTCCACAGACATCTCGAATTCATAAATACTACAGTGCTACGGTTATATATAACCTGATGAAAATAATACAGGAAACAAGAACAAAAAGATGTAATCTAGTATTCCAGTTCCTGAGTGACAGTTTCCTTTTGCTGAGTATATTTTCTAGTCTGCCTTTTTGCTGAAAATATTGAGAAACCTGTTATTAGCTGTTTTATGGCAGCTTCAATTCTTCACCCATTCTCTGTGGATTTTTTTTTTTAACTTGAAAAAGATGTTTTAAGAAAAAGCAGTGAAACTCACCTTTCTCTGGAGTAATATATATTGTAGATTCACTCCATCTGCTCCACAAGCTACTGGGGCGAGTTAGTTTGCATCTAATTTGAAACTCATACTTCGTATTTGCATCTAAGTTGTACTCAGTGTTAACTTCATTTCTTAAATTAGCATCCCAGACTCTCACCTAAAACAGAGAAACAGTAAAATCCGTTTTTTTCACTCTTCTAATCTCAGCCAACTGACTTCTGTTTTCATGTATGGTTTACTGTTGTAGCTTCTTTTTCCTAATGGCCACCTTCTCCTTTTTAAAATTAGCGATAATTGAATAAATCAAATAGAAATAGAGCATTCTCAGGGCTAGCATCCTCAAAACAGGGAGATTAAAAACAGCAATATAGGTGATAATGTTAGATTCTAGAGGTATATGACTTAGATGGCAATAAAAATTATTTTAGCTGCATTTGGAAATATTTCTGTTTATTATACTTAGTGGGACCTACTTTTGCCTCAAAATCATGTTTGGATAGTAACACTCAGTAGAAACTCAGAAGTTTCTGAAGTTCAGTCCCAAACTATATCTACATCACTGGATCTCTCAACATTTTGATTAAGATAATGTACCTGAATTTAATGGGAGCAATGATGTTTACTCACTCTGTGTTGGAATTATCTGAGAAAGAACATCAATTTAAATTAAAGTAGTGCTAGAAGAAAGGCTTAAAACAATCTTTCCGTTACATTTACAGCCATGTAAATATTTAATTTTCTAACAATAAAATGTGTAGATAATAAATATCTCCTTCCTACTCTGTGACATTTTGCTCACATTAGAGGGAGGAAAACATACTTATCTATAACAAACTGAGATTGCATCAAAAGTGACAACATCATGCGAACTCTTTTTTTCTACATTTGTCCCATGATCTGAGTATGTTAGTCGTTGTTTAGTCATGATGTGAAACGTGTTTAGTCATTTACCCCCTTGCCTACGGACCCCCACATGTTCCCTGTGACTCCTAGTTTGTTGCTCTGGAGATGATAACACTTTCTGGAGAAAGAAGAGTCATCACAGGCTGGGTAAAGGAAGATCTACTGCATTCCAGCACCATCAGTTTTTCTACATCAGCCTGTTCATTCATAGAATAGCCATGCATTCAACTCAGCCAGTCTAAGAGTTGCATACTGTATTGAAATCTAAGAATATATAGGGGTGTGTGGAATTCTTTCAATTGCATTAACAAATTCATTCCTCAATTGTATATCTATAAAAATAATGGGAGACACTGGCTGGATTTATCTCTTTATAACATAAAATCTTTTCAAACCATATAGCAAGGACTATACCAAAGAATAAGCACTTGTAATTCACTAAAAGGATCATTGGCGGGGGTGGGATATGACAGGATTAACAACCGGTTCGGGATTTACAAGCTTCCCTGCCCGCTGTGAGCTGCGCGCCTGTCAATCGTCATTAGCACATCATTAGCACGTTGCTGCCACTGCTGCTGCCACCGAGAAGCAGCCTTTGAAACAGCCCTTGTTTTTTTAACTGCAGCTGTGGCTTGTTCGGCAGCTGAAGTTGAAAAATCAGGAAATAAAAATCAGGTAAGAGCCCAGGTGGGCGGGTGGGCAAAAACATCAGCAGACATAGAACCAGTTCTATGTCTTCTGCTCTTCAGAGCTACCGGTTCTACACAGGTGGACAGAACCTGTAGAAACCCCTGATCATTGGTCACAAATTGCTGTCAACTTTGCCCTCCTGATAATCTTTCAAGCATGATGAATTACAGTGTCTATAATCTCCATTCATCATGGCCAAGGATATGATTATTGATTGATTGCATTTATATCCTGCCGCAATAACAAAATCATCCAGCAGTTAAAAGGATTATGGATTATGAAGTCCTAAAACAGCGGTGGATACTAAGTTGAGGAAAGCTGTTTTAGACAAACTGTATATGGATGGTTCTAATGTGAACCTTAATTGTTTGGTGATTTTTTTTATGTTATTTTAAAAAAAGTAAACTTATCTTTGTAGTACCAAAGAGCGAAAAGCTATAAATTTGGATTATATGCATATGAAAACAAGTTTAATTATGTGTTGCTTTGCTTATTGCTCTTTCTGGAGTATAGGAAATATATATTTCTATATATTTTTCTATATATTTGTATACTGTAGCTCAGGGCTGTCAAATTCCCGGCCCGCAGGCTGGCTGTGTCACATGCTGGCCATGCCCACAACCGGTTTAGCAAATGGAGAAAAAGTCCAGATATGTTACATAACACCACCATGATGATGTGACTTTGACACTCCTGCTGTAGCACTTCTAAATATTTAAGGTATTTCAAACAACCACTCATCCATCCACATGCACACACACATATTTCATTTCAAATATCTCTACAAGCATTTCATACACACACACACATACACACACACAACTTATTAACCATTTTAAAAAATGAACCAGACTAAGCATAGTTACTATTAACTGTCAGGATCCATTGTTTTGCCAACTTTCATAAATCTGAAGACTTCTGTAATTCTTGTGAAGGGAATATTTGGACAAAAGCTCCTACTGCATATATAATGAAGTTAAAATCCATTTTGGAGAAATACAGAAATGTACAATGTGAACCATGTGTGTGGAGGAAATGTTTTGCCACAAAACCAAAACACTGAGCCTACAAAATTATTATCCTCCAAATGAATTATGAAATGGAATGATCAATAAAAAAAACTTCACTGCTAATTAGAAGAAGAAAGAAAGCCAATATCTCACATGCCAAGTTTTACTTATTGTCTCCTTATATCGCTCCTCACAATATGTCTCATTGATTGCTGTTTGCCTTTTCCAGTGTATTATTGTCTTGAATGCTGGAAACTCCATTGTTTTATTTTGAACAACAACAGGTACAGCTGGTATTACTAAAGGAAACACAAGTACGGCACATCAAGTTTACAACAATAATATTATTAGCAGTTTTCCCAACATGCATTTTTTTAGGAGATTGTTCTTATACTTCAAAAGAAGTACAGTAACAGCTGCTGTAGTTTCTATATCAGTTCATTTCTTAAACCTTTTGCTGTACAGTTATTTTCCACAAACACATGGTTTTGTTAATGTTTATGTATCAGTCCCACTGTGCTTTCCAAATGGACATTATTTTATAAAAATGCTGTCACTAGAATAGAATAGAATAGAATAGAATAGAATAGAATAGAATTCTTTATTGGCCAAGTGTGATTGGACACTCAAGGAATTTGTCTTGGTGCAAATGCTCTCAGTATACATAAAAGAAAAGATACCTTCGTCAAGAGTCAAGAATCATAAGGTACAATCCACAATTCATATTCTTACTTTGAGAGTTCACTTAACAGCTATTGATGATCTAACTCAGAGGTCCCCAAACTTGGCAACTTTACTACTGGCTGAAGAATTCTAGGAGTTGAAGTCCACAAGTCTTAAAGTTGCCAAATTTGGAGACCTCTGATCTAACTGAACTTAATTCAAAGAATTTTCATTAAATACAGTGGGACATTTAAAAAAAACCAGGACACTCAAATTTAATTAGCTGCCTAAGCTAATTAGTATCCAAGCCAAAAGCTATGAGCTTTTCCATAATTGCACTTAACCATTTTATGTGACAAAGTCTTTTTCTGCCTTGTCACTACAAAGTTGCCTTAAGCTTATCACAAGTCCATGAATGAAACAAACAGCACTGATATTACCTTGTTAGGGTAATGAAACATCTGCAAGAAAACAAGCAAGCTCAGAGAGCATCAAGGACCCCTCATTTCAACCCTTAGCTACAGATATTTTCCTTTATTGGTACAGACATTCTTCTTAACTCTACTGTTGTTAGATCAGAATCTTTTCTCTTATTCTATCCATCCAAAAATACTTTTGAGGTGTAGAAAAATAGATTTCTCTATTACTGTGTGGAGGGAAGTTGAATGACTGGCAGTAACCCAACACTGACATAGGACAGAGATTAGATAATGGAAATTTGATGCCATATGATTTTCTGCTGATACAAAAATTGGTGGACAGAGCTTCAATTCAGCTATCGAAAAGATCCTATGATATGGCAGGAATTAATCCTCAGTGCTTTCATATGGCTGGTTAAGAAAAATATCAGAAATATTATAGCTCAGATGACACCCTCCAATCTAAGGTGTTCACCACTAGAGATTTATAGCATTTTCACACCATTGTCAGAGATATTGTTGAAGCCTGACCTCATTCTGGTTATTTTAGCAAAAAGGTGATTGAATGCTTGTAGAAAACATTGAAAGTCACTAGTAGGGAAATGACCTAACTTTTTTTCAGCCTCACATACCTAGAAACAGAAGAAGATAGTATTGTTTTTCATTAATACTTTTCAAAAACCATTCCAGCTCACATCATACATAGAACTACAGCTTATCTCACTTATTGGTGAGAACCTTAAGAATACCCTTGAATTTGAGATACAAGTGCTCCAAACCCCATTCCACTCCAACAACCTATAGAACATACATACACATATGTAAGGGTGAATAATGTCTAACTGTTCCCACTTCATCTCTTTGCCATATGGAAATGCCTAAGTTTGCCTTGACTGAACTTTCCAACTTTCAACAGAAAAATAAATAGTGCCCAGTAGAGGTACTCATTCATAAAAATAAGCATTTTCTCTCAGGCTTTGCCACTGTTGTCTTGTGAGCGCTCATATGTTATAGCAGGATTGCAGTGTGATTGTGTAGAGCAGGATGAACAATTAATCCCACTTCAAAAGTTTTTACTACATCTACAAAAGTAGAAGAAATATGAATACTCATATCTTGCACTCTGGCATTTAGGACTGTTTTGGGGAGCATGTTTGAGTAGGGAGAGAACATTGTTCTCTGGAACTTATAACATGGATTAGAGACCAAGGAAGTCCTTTATTATGACCTAGTCATGGGTTTTGCCAGGCATGCAAAAATGTAAGTAGGAGCATGGACATTTTTATCCAAGGGGAGCTCAAATTGGATTGACTTTAACTCCCAGAATTCACACTGGCTGGGGAATTCTGAAAATTGAAGTCCATACATTCTAGAATTGCCAACGTAGAAAAATGTTAGTATAGAGGAGGGTTGATCTACAACAACAACACTTTTATGTTTTATATTGTAAGTTTCTGATGTCTTTTCGGCTTTACCTGTTTGACTCAAGTTTTAATATTTAAACATCCTCATCTGACATCTGGCTTTTTAATTCTACTTATTTTATACACTAAAAAAAATCAGAATGAGATTGATTGATGAGCAATGTCTGGCTCTCAAAATCATCATCATCATCATCAACATCATCATCATCATCATCATCATCTATTAAACTTATATGGCACAAAAACTACTCTGAGCAGTTCACAACTGAACAAAGAAATAATAAAATCAATAAAACAAAACAGGCAAAAATATAAAAAGATTGGATTCTTCTGCTTATGATACATGTTGTTTAGCTTTCTTCAAATGAAGGATCAGGTTATCCAAGAAGTTACTTAGCAAATCTTAAGCTGCAACTTTTAAAATTCCTTTTAAGGTTTTTACTATAAAATTTTTAGTAACAAATTTCATGGAAACTGCAAAATGTGTGTCTGGGGGAGGGGAATTTTTTTTGTGTTGAAAGGCTGTCAAAATGCATTTGTTTAACAAAACAACCCTGAATCACATATTACCTATAGTGTTGAGATCAACGTGAAGTTCCTCTGAATGAATTCCACCCAAGTAATTTTCAGCATGGACTGAGATGGAAAAAGTTTGGTTTTTCTGTAGTTGATTCAATGGAATGATAACCGAGCTACTGTTTGAGACAAATCCTTTGTTCTCTTCTGTGAATAAACTGAAAAGATCAAAGAAGAGTTTGAATAAAAACATAGCTAGTTAAATATTTAATGTGTAATTAAAACAAGATCTGTAAATATTGTTCTAGTAAAGTCATTGTTATTAGGGGTCAGTGTGTTATAGCAGGCCTTTCTTTTTTCCACATGTTAAGCAGAACTCAACCCTTGGTAATTTTGTTTAAATTCTACTGCTTTCAAAGGGAGCATAGCTTTGCCATACAATACAATCCTATAAAATGTCAGCACAGCAAAAGTTATCAGTTCCAAGGCAATAGTATTCCTCAAAAATAGAGAACAACATGTACTAAAAAAATAGCAGAAAAATACTTAATTCTTATCCCACCAGATAGTTTTTCCATGAATTTTCTTTCTTTGGCCACTAAGGATGTTTTTCCTACTGAAGTACATAGAACTTAAAACAACTGTTTATTTATCTGCCTAAAATTCAAACTAGAATTATAATTGTAGAGGGCCCAATACAGTGTGGGATTCTAAAAAATTTACTACCGGTTCTGTGGGCATAACTTGGTGGATGTGGCATGGCTTGGTGGACGTGGCTTGGTGGGCATGACAGGGGAAGGATATTGTAAAATCTCCATTCCTGCCAGAGGTGGGATTCAAATTTCTTAACAACCGGTTCTGTGGGCATGACTTAATTTGTGGGTGTGGCTTGGTGGTCATGTGACTGGCTGGGCATGGCTTGTATGTAAATATAAATATTTATATAAATATTGAATTTTTTATAAAAAAAGAGCAACTTTTACCCAAAATCAGGCAGAGCAGGCAGGCAGATTGAGTTGCTCACAGAATCACAGATTCATTCAGAGATCTATCTTTCTGCCATCGGCTAGCTGAGCCTGCACTATTTTAGTCCTAAAGAAGGTTTGGCTCTGCTTAAAAGCAGAGCCAAAGATCTAACAATTAGCTAGAAAGCAAGAAATCCAACACTTTGGGAGTGGGTGCTCTGGTGGGGTGACATTTCTCTGCAGACTACCAAAAAATTTTCGTGGACCACCAGTGGGCTGCAGCCCACTGGTTGGCAACTGCTGGTATAGGGTACCTCCAAGGTCCCTTCCAACTCTGTTTTTCTGTTATTTATTCAATAGTGGAATTAGACCTATAGTCAGGATAACTTGCCCAAGAGCTTCCAAACATGGAATAGGTCTCATGGCCATGGCACACAACAACTACCCCAGTTAGCCTAGCCAGTGGCTATATTGCAACCATTATGGGAAGTCTAGTCAAATACATATGAAGACAATTTGGAGAAAGCTGCTGCTATAAATTGCCTTGTTCTCAGGAAATTTAAAAAAAAAAAAACTTGGGAGGTGTTACATGCATCTCATGAACGGTACCAGAGTTGCATAAACGTGTGTATTTATACCAAGTCAAAGGCAATTATTTTGTTATTACCTTAAACTAGAATTAAAAATAGGCTTTGTGACCTCTTTTTTTTGTGTGCAGAAAATGTAAGTGGGTCACGTTTTTCTTTTTCACTCATCAGAAGTATGGCATTAGTACTTTGACCTTGGTTTGTGGCTCTGAGCAGGGAAACCACAGCACAGTTTTTTCATATTTAGTTTGGTTGAATTGGTAGCTAACCTAGTTTTAGGAGGAGACTTTACAGGACAGGCAAATACATCTCACAAAATCCCAACCCTGCTGTGGTTGAATACTCTTTGCTTGTTTTAATAAAAACTGGACTTTTCTCCATAAAATTCCATCCCAAACCACTCTTCTCAAAAATTTCAGGTACAAATTTATGCTTGTATGTAAGTTTACATCAGAAACCAGCTGGCTCAGGGGCGTATAGTAAAATGCCTGGCAATTAAACAATTCCCTTCCTTCCCACTGCGCTGCTGGTCAAAAGGATGACCTATGAAGATGTTGGAGTTCATCTTTTCAAAAAAATTACTAAGCATCTCATCCTCAGTATAGTTAACATGAATGGTGACGGGAGCCTCAAAAAGAGGGAGGGAGGGAGAGGGGGAGAGAGAAAGAGAGAGGGTGTGTGTGTGTTCAAAGTAGGATGGCTGCAGTTATCATCCATTAAAGGATAACCAGTCAGGATGGGATGCTTAGAAATCTCTCTTCCCACCATTTGAGAGAGAGAGAAAGGGAGGGAGGGAGGGAGGGAGAGAGAGAGAAAGGGAAGAGGGAGAGAGAGAGAAAGGGAGGAGGGAGGGAGGGAGAGAGGGGGGAGGGGGGAGGGAGGGAGAGGGAGAGGGAGAGGGAGAGGGAGAGGGAGAGGGAGAGGGGGAGAGAGAGAGAGAGAGAGAGAGAGAGAGAGAGAGAGAGACTTTTTATCCAAAGGACACTTGGAGTTTGACAAATGTTGCAAATGCTCTGTTTCTTGCATGAGATCTCATAATATCTCAGCCATGCAAGAATATGTGAACTCCAGTGAAACATCAAATATTTTTTTTTTACTTTTATTGTGCTGCACCTACAACATTATAGAAAATTGTGTAAATCATGCCATTCATCTCTAAAAGTTGCTAATACTTGATATAAAATGTCTGGCATGGGATAAAGACTTTTCTTACCTTTTCACATATAGAATGTAGTTAGTGTTTAAATGTGTTTTCTTTCCTGATTTCCAAGTGCAGACCATATTATCTAATTGCTCAGGTTTAATGCAGGTTAAATTGGCTGGTTTGTCAGGCAGATCTACAAATCAAAGAGTTTGTAAAATTATGCTAATTTAAAAACATACCCAGAAAATATGTAATCATATCTCACTGATGAATAAACATTTCCTCACTATCTCTTTTGACATTTTAAATGAATTTATTCAAAGTAGCTTCAAGTTCCCTTTTTGTCTAAGATATGCCAATGAACACAATTGCTTCAATTTGAATAAGATTCATTTCGAGACTTGCAATTTTAATCTGTAAATATAATTGATACTCTAAATGATTTTACAATGCTTTGTATTTGTCACAAAATACTTTCTTGTCTAGCAATTAATTGTCCTAAAAACAGCATTTAGCTCCTTTGTGGCTAACATTTTTTGTAATTTTGTCCCTAAAATTGTATCAATACTGGTCTCTTCAGAAAGTGTCAAAACACATTAGCTAAAAACTGGCTTTCAGCATTGAGTGTCACCCCACTATCATTCTGACAATATAAACTATGTCCCTATCAGTGGTGGGATTCAAAAAATGTTACTACTGGTTCTGTGGGCATGGTTTGGTGAGCATGACTTGGTAGGTGTGGCTTTGTGGACGTGGCAGGGGAAGGATACTGCAAAATCCCCATTCCCTCCCACCCCATTAACCTGCTTTCCAGCTCTGTTCTCCTGGGCAGGGCAATAAAAGAAGAGCCAGCTGATCAGCTAAGACTCGGGAGGCAGAGAATAGATGAGGGTGGGGCCAGTCAGAGGTGGTATTTGCTGGTTCTCCAAACTACTCAAAATTTCTACTACCAGTTCTCCAGAACTGGTCAGAACCTGCTGAATACCTCCTCTGGTCCCCATGATTATAGTATTGGCATAGTAATAGTTGGATGATGCAATAAAATGCTATAAATCACCCACAAGGAAATGGCTATAAGCTCAGTTATTTTTTCCTCAGCATCGCCATTATGCTGGGATATGCGTGTGTTAAAGTAAAAGTGGATAATTTTCTTTCTGGCTCTTAACTATCTTTGATCAGTGACCAGGATTTCTCCAATGGTTATATATAGAACAAAAATACACCTAGATGAGATATACAATCAGTCCCAATTAATGTGAAACTGCTGTCAACAACATTTGTACCCATTGTATAGTTAGCAACATGGACTAAAATTTATTGTTGGCAATGCTTGCTTACCATTCCTTTGGAAATAAACCTGGAATCTTTTAACATGTCTATCTGGGAGCATATAATGTAAATTATTTGGACTATGCATGTTTCGGATTGATGTGTCTGTCTTACTGACTTTGGTGACATTCACTTCAAAGTAGGTATAAATAAGAGTGCAACATGTGCATATTTACTTAGGATTAAGTCCCACTCATTTTGCTCCACATGGCTTGGCTTGCTCCCTTAGTTTAGATCAGGGGTCTCAAACTCACGTCGTCATGGTGGTATCACGTGACGTATCGGGACTTTTCCCCCTCCCCCCTCCACTAAACCAGGCATGAGGATAGCCAGCGTGTGACGCATCTGCCCACAGGCTGGGAGTTTGACAGCCCTGGTTTAGATAATGCTTAGATTACAAACCAAGCTATAAGCCCTCCTGAAAATGGGCTATTTTTTTTTTAAGTACCACTTCAAAAATGTACCTTTAAATAATTGACTATCCCAAATTAATTAAGATGTTCTAGAATGGCATAGCTCATGCTACACAGCCATGATACTTACATCCCATACAAAATTGTGTTCCGCAGATCAGTCGGCTTCTAGAGCTTTTCAGAAGGCATGAAACTGTGGAAAAGGGCTCATTATAATTCTGAAGATTGAGCTGAACTGTAGTTTGGTTTATAACTGATAGGAGCGTATCCTCAACATCAGCATTATTTAAGTTCAGAGATAGTTTCCCTTTCTGACACTTTTCCACGCAATGACAATTTATAGAAATATTTTGGCCCATTTGAATGATTGGGGCTGGTTCTACCCATACACGCCCAGAGCACTTTATGATACCTGAAAAGACAAAGAAGAACAGGAGGAGAAAGGATTACTATTAACACCTTGGCAATTCATTAGAGGTAAATTCTCCATGTTTGGGGTATCCTAACCTTGCTAAGGGAGCACAAACAGCTATGGGGTTATTGTCCTGAAAGCCCTTCCCTGCCTTTCAATGTTGCTTGCCTCTTTTAAAATTTATATATTGCTTTATGGTTTTTTTAATATATTATTTTGTATACTGCCCAGAATCCCTCTGTGAGGAAAAGAGGTGGTTTTAAAATTTGATAAATTAAAATAAATAATCTTTCAAAAGTATTTACCTAGTAATTCACTCTAAGAATTAAAAACGATCAGATCGTGAAATCCATAGAGGAGGTGATGTTGCTATCTTCTATAAAAAGTCCCTACATCTAAAAAATATCCAAGTTACCCAGGAGCTTGCTATTCCTGAGACCATCGTCTGTGAACTGTCCTTAAATATTACATTTCAGTTCTTACTATGTTACAGAGCCTCTGATTATGACATCGAACATGCAAACAAGCTAAATACACTACTAACATGGGCAGCATCCTGCCCACACGCTTTTATCTTTCTTGGTGACTTCAATCTACCTTATATTAACTGGACCCTTAACGAATGTACAACTGAACCCATACATGCAACCTTATACAATGCAATAACAAATCTGGGACTAGAACAACAAGTAACTAACAACACCAGACTTAACAACTGCCTCAATCTCATCTTCTGCAATAGTTTGAATTCAATTTATGGAATACAAATTAAAGAATCCTTTTCTAACCGTGACCACAACATGATTGACTTTTGTCTCAACATACATCCACACAAAAATAATCACAATGACGGAATCCCCAATTATAACTTCAAAAAAGGCAACTATGATCTTATAAACAATGATCTCTCATCCCTTGATTGGCAATTTCTATTCTCTGGATGCAATACTGTAGAACAGGGGTCCCCAACCACCGGTCCGCGGACCGGTACCGGTCTGTGGAACAAGTCCTACCGGGCCGCTGGCTTGCTGGGCACCGCCATCTTTTTTTGATGAAAAAGTGCTTCCGGTGAGCTTTTCCGGGTAGAAAGCTCACCGGAAGCACTTTTTCATCAAAAAAAGATGGCGGCACCAGCGCGTCCGGTGCACTTTTTCATCAAAAAAAGATGGCGGCGCCCAGCTAATGCCGGTACCGGGCCGCGCCATAAAAAAGGTTGGGGATCACTGCTGTAGAAGACCATTACAACATACTTTTACTTGAAGTCAAATGAGTCATCAAACTATATGTACCATTAACAACTCCCAAAATCAGAAAAAACAAATGACCCACAACAATAAGGAAGTTTCAATTTAAAAAAAATCACTTTGGCGGAAAAACAAATCTGGTCATGTTCCAACTTCAAAAGCCGATACAAAAATTTATGCCACCAGATAAAAACTAAATGCACCAATTATCACATTAAACAAGAAGAAAACCTTCTTTGCATCAATTCCACCCGCACTTTCTACAATTTTGTAAACAACAAACTAAAAGACTCAAGGTCCATCCCACCCCTGAAAGGACCTAATGGTAAAGACTGCAACGACGACACTATTAAAGCCAACCTCTTTAACATATTCTTTGGCTCAGTATTGTTAACAGCAATGGATCATGCCCAGTATTTCCTAGTCGAACCACAGACAACTACAATGATCTAATACATATCGATTTTATAGAAGACATTGTTGAAAAAGCACTGCGCTATCTAAAACCATCTCTATCTATTGGACCGGACAGAATATGTGCCTTCTTAAAAAATCTATCCACTGCCATAGCCGAACCTCTAAGCATAATCTTTGAAAAATCTTTCATGACCAGCTCCTTGCCAAAACTATGGTCACTAGCCACGGTCATCCCCATCTTCAAAAAAGGAGACCCCAGCCTAGTTGAAAATTACAGACCAATCTCTTTATGCTGCATCACCTGTAAAGTCATGGAATCAATTATTAACCAATCCATCATCCTCCACTTAGAAACAAACAACCTCCTCTCTAATAAACAATTTGGTTTTAGGAAAGAACTATCATATAATCTGCAACTGTTACACTGGAAAAACATATGGACTACACAACTCGATCAGGGCAAAGCAATAGACGCAATCTACATAGACTTCTGTAAAGCCTTTAATTCAGTGGTACACGGCAAACTACTCAAAAAACTAAAATCTTATGGTATCTCTGGACACCTGCATAACTGGATAGAAGCATTCCTGTCAAACAGACAATTCCTGTCAAACAGCATTCCTGTCAAACAGACAATTCCTGTCAAACAGACAACAAATGGTCAAAATTGGGAGCATCCTATCAAATTCTGTACCTGTCAACAGTGGTGTCCCCCAAGGCAGTGTTCTAGGACCAACTCTTTTCATACTCTACATAAATGACCACTGTGATCATATCAAGAGCAACTGCATTCTCTTCGCTGATGATGTAAAGCTATTCAACACCACAGACAATACTGCTATCCTTCAAAAAGACCTCGAGTATGTATCAGAATGGTCAAACAAATGGCAACTTCAAATCTCAACAAATAAATGCTCTGTCCCACATACTGGCAAAAAAAATCAGAAAATAAAATACAGGTTGAATAGTCAAGACCTTATTGATGATCCAAACTCTGTCAAGGATCTTGGAGTACTCATCTCTAATGATCTAAGTGCTAGAGCCCACTGTAACTACATAGCCAAAAAGGCATTAAGAGTTGTTAACCTAATCTTACGTAGCTTTTTCTCTGGTAATATTACACTACTAACTAGAGCATATAAAACATTTGCTAGACCAACACTTTAATACAGCTCATCAGTCTGGAACCCACATTATGTATGTGATATTAACACAGTTGAGAAAGTCCAGAAATATTTCACAAGAAGAGTTCTCCACTCCTCTACTCGTTGCAGAATACCTTATGCCATCAGACTCAAAATTCTAGACCTAGAAAATCTAGAACTATGCCGCCTTCGGTCCGATCTAAGTATAGTATATAAAATCATACATTGCAATGTCCTATCTGTCAATGAATACTTCAGCTTCAACCATTACAACACAAGAGCAAACAATAGATACAAACTCAAGGTTAATCGCACCAAACTTGATTGCAGGAAATACGACTTCAGCAACAGAGTGGTCACCGTCTGGAATACTCTACCTGACTCTGTGGTTTTTTCCCCAAACCCCAAAAACTTTAACCTTAGACTGTCTACTATTGACCTCACCCCTTTCCTAAGAGGTCTGTAGGGGGCGTGCATAAGCATACCAATGTGCTTATGTGTTCCTGTCCTATTGTTTCTTTTATATATTTTTTTATTTTTCTTATATGTATCCATGTATTCATAACTATGTTTTTACTTATACCTATTATCTTGTAAGCAATTGACAAATAAATAAATAAATAAAATAATACTGGAAGAGGTGGGCATTTTGCTTTACAAAAGGCTGGTTCCTTTTTAACTAACTAACTAACTAAGCAAATGAACAAATAAATAAAATAAATGATATTTAAATGTAAGAGTGAGATGGAGCAGGAAACCAGTGCGCATGAAAGAAATAACTTATGGATACATTGCATCCTAAGAACCAAGCTGGGTATCCAAGTGTAGTAGAATCTAGCTAGAAAAGTACTTATTGGCTAGGATTTGGGACACACATATTGATTGGCTGGGATTAGGACCATGCATGTTCCCTAATGCCTTCGCTATTACAGCATGGCCATAGATAGGGAAGACAAATAATGTGATGCGCAGCATGACATCACAGTATCAGTGTTATACTACACACAAAAATGTAGTATATATTATGACAGTTGCAGTGTCCCAGGATCATGTGATCATCTTTTGTGACCTTCTAAAAGCAATCTGGGAAGCCAGCTTCACTTAACAACCGTGTTACTGACTTAATAAATGCAGTGATTCACTTAATAACTTTGGCCAAGCAAGGTCATAAAAAGAGACAAAACTGATTTAATAACTGTCTTGCTTAGCAATAGAAATTTCGAGCTTACTTGTGGTCATAAGTCAAGGACTACCTGTATTTGGTTTCAATTCTTATAAGGATAATACTTACCTGGCCCTTTAGCTAAGCACCGATGAGAAAGAAGACTTTGGGGGATCTTACAGAAAAGTAAGTTTAAAACCAACAAGACTTTAGATATTGCCATGGTCTGGAAGATGTTGGATCTTTGTCAAAAGGCATTGTCTAAAAGAAAAAAACAATATGATTTTCTCTATCAATATTTCTTTTAAAAATGTTTAACATAATCCTACCAGAATGTTGAATGGGGAATATGAAATAATTGGAAGGACAGGTTTAGCTTTGGAAATAAATTCCTTCATCCTTTTTTAAACTCTCTATTTAGCTTCTATATTTCTCCCTAACGAAAATCAATACCAGTGTTGGTTTACTACTATGATATTTTTGAGCCATTTTTAAGCACAGCAAACACTTTTTCAAACATTTTATTCTGCTTGTCAGCAGCTATAAAAAGATATTACTATTTTAAGTTAACCTGGTATTTTTTATTTTAAGATAAATATCAAAGATGCTATGGGATTAGGAGTTTCTAGGCAAGGTAGCTATTAGGCAATTGCCCAGGTTGATTTACAGATTTTACAAAGATGCTAACACCTTCCCAAAGTAAAGTAAGTAAAAAAGGAAGAATGACATTCCTGCGTGTACACAAATTTTTTTAAAAATAAAAAATTGCAACTTAAAAAAAAAGATTAAGAGATAAATTGTTATGGTTCTTCAAAATCAGAATCTCTTGAAATGATCAGAATATTTGATTTAATTTATCTGAACCAATATTGAACCAACATGGCCATAGGCTTGTTCTGGAAAGCAAGGTTCATAAAACAGCACGTTTAAGTACCTCATTAGAACAAAGGTGACTGGTCCAAGCATAGCTACCAGAGGTGGTATTCAGCAGGTTCTAACCAGTTCTGGAGAACCAGTAGCTGAAATTTTGAGTAGTTCAGAGAAATGGCAAATACCACCTCTGACTGGAGATTTTATAGCCTCCTTCCCCTGCCACGCCCACTAAGCCTTGCCCACAGAACCAGTAATAAAATTTTTTGAATCCCACCACTGATAACCACCCAAACTATGTATATCAGACAGTATATCAGCTGCTCCCAGCATGGACTTCACTTCTCATGTTCAAATCACTTCTCAGATGATTTTACTCCCTCTAAAAGAGAATTTGCTTTTTTCACAGCAACCATGTACAAGGGTAACAGATATCTTACAATACCTTAAAAATTCCTTTCCTGTCCCTCAATTTCTTATCATTTCCATTTTTTTCCCCTGTGACTCTATTCTATTTTTCTTTGCAATCCTTTTCATGGATGCAACTGCCCGGGAGAACAAACATTGACCAAGCTCATTAGCAAAAAAGCTATCAGCAGAGCAATAAACAACTTGGTTTGGGGATGGGTGTTTTTGAACAGCTGTGTCGAAGTGGGATGTCTATATCCATTTGAAGTAAGAAGTTCAAGCAGTTGTAAAACCCAGATCCTGATTTATGAGAGCGGCCATCGAAATTAGGTCCTTTGTCTAATAAACCCTTTAGTGAGGAGCTCATGGTTTCCTTCTGCTTCGTCAGTGGTTTAGGTATGTAGTGAAAAGGAAGTTGGGGGGCAGAGACCCAATTAGGTAAGCAATTTGTAGGTGCACAGCTACTGCAACCAAGCTACTAGCTGACATGCCCCCACCCCCCGCAACCCTGGATAACAAGGTTATGTAGTGAGCAACTTTTGTTAAAATCTTATTGAAGTAAAATAAACATATACAAATTTACTCCTGCTGACATGTTTACTGATTTTTGATAGACATTTATTTTATAAACCTAAGATGATTCTGAGAGGTCCTTGGTGGTCTCAGAGCTTGGCTGTTTTCTTGCAGATGTTTCATTGCCCAAACAGTGCACTGATGATATTACCAAGTTTGGGTAATGAAACATCTTGAAAAAACCAACTAAGCTCAGAGAGCACCAAGGACCCCTCATTTCAACCCGAGCTACAAATATTCTTCTTTATTTGTATGATGACACTTTTCTTATGTACTTCATTTTTCTTCACCTTTTTCTCTCCAGGAACAAAATATGAGTGTCCTCCTTGCCCTCTAATCTTATATCATTAACATCTTTTGGTACATTTGATAAAAAATTGTGACTGGCCCACAATTGCTCAGAATGCTTCCTAGTTTAGCAAAGATTTGAACCTGTCATCCCCGATCCTAATCTGTTGTGGTAGCAGACTTTCTAGCAAAACCGCATTCAGGGAATCCTCATCTTACGATCTCAGTTGATCCCAAAATGTCTGTTTTTAAGGGAAACATTTGTTAAGTGAGTTTTGCTCCATTTTGTTACCTTTCTTGCCCCCAGTTGTTAAGTAAATCACTTGCGGTTGTTAAGTTAGTAATGCCGTTGCTAAGTGAATCTGGTTTTCCCATTGACCTTACTTGTCAGGAGGTTGCAAAAGGTGATCGTATGACCCTGGGACACTGCAACCCTCATAAATATGAGTCAGTTGCCAAGTGTCTGAATTTTGATCATGGGACCATGAGGAAGTCGCAACAGTTGTAAATGTGAAAAGTGGTCAGAAGTCACTTTTTCCCGTACCACTGTAACTTTGAATGGTCACTAAATGGACTGCCGTTATGTAATGGACCACCTCTCTACATGCTCAATAATTGTATTGTTATGATTTTTCTTAATTTATCCTCAAAAGGTAGTAAGCAAAACTGAATGTAAATTGCAAGACCCTTCGCCTCCCTGCCACAGTCTGTTTTTAAAAATCTTGTTAGCTTATTTACAGTCTACTGGTTGAAAGCCAATCTTTGAAAGTTGCTTCATCTTTTGATAAGAACATTAGCTCCTTTTCACATTGGAATAATGGAAGCAAGTTTATAGTTTGTTATTACAGCGACCTGATAGGTTTGGGTTTTTTTTTTTAAAAAAAATCAAATAGAATTAATCTATTATCAGGATAATCATCTACATGGTTTATCTCCTTGGCAGTTTAGGCACTGCCCAACATTTTCTGCAGTGAAGACAATGCAAAGAGTTCAGCTTCTTTGCATGCTTCTTATTCTCTTTTAATACTCTTTTAATACATTTTTGTTTAATAATGAAAGATTTCCTTTTTCTAAAGGAACTGTTTTCTCTAATTCATTTGTTTACTTGGTTTCAAAATTATGCTGAAGAATTCCTGAAAATGAAAATTCTTTCCCTTTCTGTATGTTAAACTGTAGCTGAAGGTCTATTGGTTTAGTATTTTCTTTAGAGATCTGAATGATTTGACTTCCCTTTTAGCTTCATTTTTTATCAATATTCAGGTTTTTTTCAGATTTCCATTTTGGCAATCCCCTAAATTTATCATTTTGGGCAACTGACTCAGTAGCATTTACTTCATGGTATAAGATGAGAGCATTGAGAGGACTTAGATAAGGATCTCTTCCTTTTAGTTGATTTCTTAGCAGATTTTTCTATGATACAAATGTGTTTTGTGACAAAGACACTACAATAGTGCCAATAGCAAGCCTATATCTTCCTCCTCCTCCTCCTCCCAGCATTGTAGTAATAGTAATGGCAATTGACTTGTTCATCTTAAAAACAATCAAACTATACACTAACTATACACTAATAGGTTGAAAAGAGACAGCCAATCTAGTATAGTGGTTAGAGTGCCAGGGTAGAAACTGGGAGACCCTGAATTATAGTTCTGCCTTAGGCATAAAGCCAGTTGGTTGACTTTGGGCTGGTCATTCTTTCTCCAGCTCAGGAAGGAGGAAATGGCAATCATTTCTGAAAAACTTCGCCAAGAAAACTGCAGTGACTTCATTTTTCACAGTCAACAATGGTTCAAGGAAAGGAAAGGAAAGGAAAGGAAAGGAAAGGAAAGGAAGCAGAAAGGAAGGGGAAGGGAAGCTCAAAATACACTTTTACTGTTGTATTCACCAGGAAGAAACAACCTGGTTGTATTTATTATTGTTCTTGGTTATATATAGATAATACAATCAATGTTATTATAAATACAGTTTATTTATACTATAACACATTTATAACAACTGGCACAATTCAAATAGATTCAGCAGTATTTGCAATTTGAAAAAAAACAGCTATATGTACTTTTGCATGCCATATACTTTTGCTAGAGAATCAACATAGTGAACTAGGAAGGAAAAGGCTGTAATCATGCAGCATCTGCTCAAAATGCTTCAGAAAGATATTTTGAACACAAAAGAATAAATGAATTAAACCAAACCTGTATTTTGGAAAAGCAACACACCAGTTAAATATGGAAAATAGAAAACTTACATTAACTTTTCTTAATGTAAATTAAACCTTCACCCCTTCTCATTTACTATTATTTTGTCTCAAATTTTAAAAATAATCAAACACAAATAATTTGCAGACACCTCCTCCCTCTCCCTCTCTCTCTCCTTCCCTTCCTCTCCCTCCCTCCCTGTCTAGAAAAGAAGAATTCATCATTTCATTGCATCAATTACTTGGATATATTTTTACCTTTTTCTTCATCCAGCCACGTGTCTCATTTCTGTGTTTGAACTTGATTTCACTACTAGCAGGTACTGAATGAAAGTCTTACTTCTTATTGCATGCTCTTTAGAATTCACTGCTAGAGGCACCAATAGAAAGAGAGGAGAAAGAAGTAACTTCTTAGTCATGACCTACTTGAGCAAGAACCTGTTAAGACTTTCATGTTCCTTGCTTAAGAAATGTTTATTTTGTGAGTCATTCTGTGGGGAAACCCACAATTCTCAAATTTCTACTGCTTTCTCCCCACTCCTCTCATGTCCTCCAGGTCCTATCAGTTCAATCTGAATAAAGTTAGTTCTGTATTTATAGCACAGAGCTGGGTTAAAATTTCATTTCTGAGAACTTTCTACATAGCAAAGCACTCACTTCTTGGTATGTATGAAAAATATATATAAGCAAATGTACAGAAAGAGTCACAAAGAAAAAATAGAAAGAACAAGGTATTTCCTTTGCAGAAAGTCAGTACATTTACAAAGTTCTCTCTTATCTATGTTTACTGAAAAAAAACACCTCACTTTTCTTTATTGTCTAACTTTTTTCTAATCATCACAACTCTTTTTGCTTCACAAAAAAGGTCTATAAATGGTTTTCTAGTTGAACAT